CCCAGCCAGCCATTCCCCTGGCTGGGGAATTCTGGGAGTTGAAGTCCACAATCTTAGAGTTGCCAAGGTTGAGAAACACCGGACTAGGGAATTGTCCTTACTTGTTTGCAATGAAAGCTGTGGTTCTAAAACTTTCCAGTGTAGGATTGTGTGTAGAATTTCTTAAAAACTCTGATAACCAGCTTTCTACTTTCACAGTGGATCTCAAAGTGCTTTACAATAAAGCCATAAAAAATAGGACGCTAACACCATGAAAAAATTATAACATGAAGAGTCAAATCCCCCCCCCCAATCATCTGCTGAAGCTCTGGGAAATGCCTGGCTCCTCTGCCAGTGCACAGTGCACAGCCTGGGCTTGCCCTATGTGGGGAGGCTCACAGAAAGCGCACACAATACCTGGCTTGCACGTAGATCAGGAGACTCTGGCTGTCGCTCCAGCCAACGCTGCTCACTGATGTTCTTGGCCAGCAACATCGCTTGGCTTTCCAGAGAAAAGGCTTTGCACTGTACTCTGCCAGGGGGCCTGTTGTGGAAGGCAGCCCCGTCCAGCAGAAGATGACCAGCCCTGGAACCGGGACCTGCCCACCCACGCAGTCCCACCTGTACCAAAGATAAGCTGCTCGATCAACTGGCTGTCCTCCAGCCCCAGTTTAGTCATGCACAACCACACCTGTTTCGGCGGGGACAGAGGCACGGCTGAGCATCCTGCAAGCATCTTCGCTCCAAGTTTCAAAGAGCTTCCTCTCCGAGAGCGATGAAACTGGGCAAAGGCATGGTTAGCAAGGGCTGAGCGCCAGTTCCCCAGAGCGCCTCTGCGAATGGCTGGCAGTCATGAGATGTCTTGCAACGCAGAGGCTCCAACCACAACTCGCAGTTCAAGGAAACTAGGGGGAGGGGTCTTCCCTGGGGCACATCACCCCTAACAGCAAGCAGGGCCAATTCAGTCCCCACTCCAGACCCTACATGTCTTCCAGAGTCTTCAGCTGCAGCCCTCAATGTCCCCTTTGCCCACAAGGAGGTTTTTGCATAACTAGAGGGCATCCTTAGGAACCTCTTGTGTCCAAAGAGTGTTTTTCAGGAGTGGCCACACCTGTCACGTCAGGGGGTCACATTCCCCCTCAGAAGGGTATACCGAACCTGCTACCATCCGGGGTCTTAGACTTCAGTTCCCATCAGCCTCGGATGGCATGAGCAAAGGACTCCGGGAACTATACTCTGAAACAACTGCGGGCACTAGGGGCTTCCCTGCCCTCTTCTCACTAATCGATCTTCCCCAGAGGCTTTCATAAGCCAAGATGTGCAAGGGTTAAGGGCATATGTGATCAGTGGCATCTTCAGCAGAAGCTGAAAAGTGGCCCTATAAAACTGAGCAAGTTGACGCAGAATCTCTGTGTTCCCTTTTTGTGCATACAGAAACAAGTCTGAGGAGGGCTGGACATCAAAGCGGCAGAGCACTCATCTATTATGAGGAGCCCCCTGTCCAACATCAATGTTCTCAACTAAAGCCCACTGAATTCAACATGCATTTCCCCAACTGTAGCCTATTTATGCACCCCCAGTATGGGCAAAGGGTGGGAACATTAAGTCACACTGGATAATGTGCGGGAGCTCAGTGTTGGTACTGTATGAGGCTGGAGTTAATCTTTTAATGCTTTTGTCCTCTATACTCTTGTCATGCCCAGCATAAAGCTGTACCTGAGAAGGAAGAGGAATTTCGGTCCATCCTCCAGAATTTGGAACAGATTTAAGTTGGTAGTTCTTCTAATTACAGAAACATAGAGTTGGAAGTGCAGGATCCATCAGAGCAGCCTTTCTCAACCTTGGCCACTTGAAGATGTCTTAAAGATGCCAAGATTGAGAAATATTAGACCATTATGAAGGATGACATCCTGAGAGACTCTGAAAGTTTGCTGAAATCCAGGAACGCTAGGTCTATGGCACTGCCCTGATTTACTAAGCTAGTAGCTGTCAAAAAAGGAGATAAGGTTGGTCTGGCACGGCCATGCTGACTCCTGTTAACTGTAGCCTGCCTACCCAAGTGCTTGATCATCTGTTGCCCACTGTGGACCTCAGGCTCACAGGCCTGTCGTTTTCTGGGGCCTCCTTTCCATTTTGAAGACAGGGACACTTGCTCTCCTCCAGTTCTCGAAGACTGCAGCGAGCAGCTCTGTGGTCACTTCTGCTCATTCCTTCAGTACCCCAAGAGATAATCCACTTTGCCCTGGAGACATGGATTTGCTTAAGTAAAGTCTAAGCCTCTCTTGATTTGAGCTGGTGGCTTCAAGAGGATGTTCATATAGCTCTTTGGTAAGATTTCCCATTTCATTCTTCTAGGATTTTTTTTTTTAACTTCCCAGCCTAGTCTCCCGCCTAGGGGTTTGCTGGAGATCTCCCACCCTGGTATTAATCAGGTCTTCCTTTGCCCTAGAGAGATGTTCTATCCCCCACTTTCATTTTATGCACTGTCTCAGCAACAACAGTAACAACCAGGACCAGAGTAACCATTGGGAAGGGGGAGGGGAACTGAGGCAGGGTTGTCATTTAAGGGGCTCAGGAGGTCATGGCTTCCATGGCCTATCAGGTAACAGCCCTTGCTCCTCATCAAGCAGGACCCACAAGTGGACCTCTGCCATGAGGGGGATGCTCCATGAACAGAGGAGCCAGAAGTGACTCCCTTGGCATGGGCATCACCCATTCAGGCTGTGCAGGGAGGATTCGGAGGGCCAACCCTTGTGGCTTCTGGGTTCTAGGGATCCTGGCTTGCTAACTGGGAAATTTGTGACTGCACCAAACCGCTCGTTCAAGGGGGTGGTGACCAACTTGGTCTTTGGTGGCTTCTGCTTGGGTTGGACCATGGGTGGGATGAAATGTCACAGGCTAAAGCTGAATCTAGACGAGGCAGCGGTCTTGGCAGTCAGGGGAGACGTGATGCAAACAAGGTGTCTGTTCCTCTGAAGAAGGGACATGCAGTCAGAGGGAAGGGGGGCTCTTTGATCCTACGTGGTCCTTGGCTTTTCGGGCAGGGCTGGTGAGAAGCGCCTTCTTCCAGCGCCTTCTTCAAAGACTACCAACCGCCTCCCTCCCTGGAGGAGTTTCACCTGCCACAATGACCAAGCTTAGACTACCGAGATGCGCTTCATGTGGGAACGCCCTTGGCAGTAGCTTGGAAATGCAGTTTTCTGGGAGGAGCATTTATTTATTTAGTACTCAGTTGTCAATGCTGCTTCAGTCATAAACTGATTCTGACAATTAAAATATAGTAACGCAATATCCATCATATATAGCAACACAATAAGCAGCAGCCCTTAATTTCAGGCTGAGGAAAAATCATACCAAAGTAACCAATTGCCACTTAGTCTGGGGAGAGGAACCCCAGCTCTCCACCATGCGTCAAAGGTTTCCTTCATGGCCTTTCTAAAGGGATTTCGGGGGGGGGGGGAGGCTGTCCCAGAAGCAGCCCTGCTTGGAATCAGCTGCAGCTCTTTCAGTAGCAGCACCAACCCAGCCGAATTCCCACACCTTGGAAGTTCAGGCCACTTTCCAGGTGAAATCCGACTTGTTCTCTCTTCGATGTCCTGCTGGAGATTACTGAAAACCCAGCTCTGTCAGAGATGCAGGAGAGATCACACCTGATCTTAGCCAAAAGGCAGGGAAGTGACATTTCACAGTCTGTGAGGACGCCAACTGGGCCAATCAAACGAGGATGCATCGCCTATCTTATTACTCTATTAATCTGAAAGTTTTGTTTTTACATAAATGACCACAGGTGCTTTAAATGTGTTTTGCTTGATGACAATAGGGCATGCAAATGGAATAAAACCAATCAGATAGGTAAAGAAATTCAATACTGGCGAGGCAGTGCTGGTGGAGGATTGCGAGAGCCACAAACCAGCCAACACATTGGGAGGGCACAAGGTTGGGGAAGAGAGCTGCAGCTGACCCAGATCTGGGATGGCCAGCCTTGCTGCTCCTTTTGGAGCCACATCCTCTGTCACTGTTCTGAAAGGAGAGGGCCACGGAAGTCAAGAGCGCAGCCACAATGGTGTAATCAAAGCTCCCCTTGTTTTTTAGGCGTTTTGCCCACACGCCACACATGAAAAACAAGAGACGCTTTAATCACGCTGCCATGGCCCCCTTCTTGACTTTTCTGAGCACGCCTTGTGGGCACCCCTGAACGTCTCCAAGCGTTTTGAGCTTAAAAGTAAACAAGGTGACCAAGGTGAAGCCGATGGTTTCCCAGCAGCACCTCAGCTTGCCTTTCCACATTGCAGCCGGCCTGTGGCGGTTATCGCCTCTGCATTCCGCCCTTCTGGTCCGGCTGGGTGAATTCCTGGCGGGGAGGCTCAGCGCTCAGCGTGCGCGTGACCTCGCTGCCGAGGGGCAAAATGAGTTCCTGGAAAGCCAGCTTCCTGTGGCCTACGAAGCAGCACGTCCCTGGTTCTCAGCGGAAATGCCACCATCCAGAGTTTCCACTCCAGAGCTCACCAGCAACGCTCCAGGATGCCATCAACGGTTTGCCAGGGGGGGGGGGTTACGACCGCCCCTGATCTGCACCACTAGGATGCCAGTGCGTGTCCTCTGTCAACATGGCTTGACCGAGACCCAAAATGATCGGTCATTTTTCGGCCATGGGACACGAAAGAGGAACTATTTGGTCAATTGTCTGGCAGCAGGGTTTTCCAAGCCTTCTCCCCTTTAATGTTAATGTTCTGTCGGTAACACTTTTCTATCCGCTCATTTGGTATAACAACGTAATTTGTAGAAATCGATCCTGCGGTGTCCGCCAACGTCACGGCTGATAAGGAGCGCCCACCCCCCTGGAGGAGGAGCCTGCCTGGCTGCCTGCCTGCGGGGGTCTGCGAAGACGGAAAGGCACCTGCGTTTCAATTCCAACGGGAA